CTCGACGCCAGAGGGGGTGCGCAGGGGGTGGTCTCTCACCGCGGCCGCTATCCACGACGCTGTTTCTCGACGCCAGAGGGGGTGCGCAGGAGTGGTCTCTCACCGCGGCCGCTATCCACGACACTGGCGAAATGCCTAGCAGGCGCGGCAATTTCTCGACGCCAAAGGGGGTGCGCAGGTGGTGGTCTCTCACCGCGGCCGCTATCCACGACACTGCTTCTCGACGCCAGAGGGGGTGCGCAGGGGGTGGTCTCTCACCGCGGCCGCTATCCACGACACTGTCGAGAAGCCCAGCAGGCGCAGCAATTTCTCGACGCCAGAAGGGGGTGTGCAGAGGGTGGTCTCTCACCGCGGCCGCTATCCACGACACTGTCGAACAGCCTAGCAGGCGCGGCAACTTCTCGACGCCAGAAGGGGGTGTGCAGGGGGTGGTATCCCGCCGCGGCCGCTACCCACGACACCGTCGAACCGCCTAGCAGTCGCGGCACTTTCTCGACGCCAGAGGGGGTGCGCAGGGGGTGGTCCCTCGCCGCGGCCGCTATCTACGACACGCCAGAGGGGGTGCGCAGGGGGTGGTCTCTCACCGCGGCCGCTATCCACGACACTGTCGAGAAGCCTAGCAGGCGCGGCAATTTCTCGACGCCAGAAGGGGTGCGCAGGGGGTGGTCTCTCACCGCGGCCGCTATCCACGACACTGTCGAAAAGCAAAGCAGGCGCGGCAATTTCTCGACGCCAGAGGGGGTGCGCAGGAGTGGTCTCTCACCGCGGCCACGATCCACGACACTGTCGAACAGCCTAGCAGGCGCGGCAATTTCTCGACGCCAGAGGGGTGCGCAGGGGGTGGTCTTCTCACCGCGGCCGCTATCCACGACACTGACGAACAGCTTCGCAGCGCAACAGTTTCTCGACGCCAGAAGGGGTGCGCAGGGGGTGGTCTCTCACCGCGGCCGCTACCCACGACACTGTCGAAAAGCCTAGCAAGCGCGGTAATTTCTCGACGCCAGAGGCGGTGCGCAAGGGATGGTCTCTCACCGCGGCCGCTATCCTTGACGTTCGTCCAGGCACAGCAGGCATGGCATATTCTCGAGACCATAAAGGGGGTGCGCAAGGGGAAGTCCCTCACCGCGGCCGCTATCCGTGACGTTCGTCCAGGCGCAGCAGGCATGGCATAGTCTCGAGACCATAAGGGGGTGGTCTCTCACCGCGGCCGCTATTCGTGACGGTCGTCCAGGCACAGCAGGCGTGAACACGCGCGACCTTACATCAGTATGTGGGATTCCTCGGTTGTGTAATTGTTGGCGTCGCCGCCATGGTCGCCATCATCGCCGTCGTCGCGGGCGTGGTCGTGGTCAGGATCGGTGTTGTTGCCGCCGTCGTCGTCGTCGTCGTCGTCATGGTCGCGGTTGTTGTCGACGTTGCCGTCGTCGTGGTTGTGGTTGTCGTCGTAGTCGTCGCCGTCTGTCGTGGTCGTGACGGTCGCCACCGCCGTGGTCGGTGTCGTTGTCTCGGTCGCTGTCGTCGGCGTGGCCGCTGTGGTCTTGGTCCTGGTCGTGATCGTCGTGGTGTTGGTCCTGGTCGCGGTCGCTGTCGTCATGGTCGTCGCCATGGTTGTCGCCGTCGTCGTCGGAGACGTAGTCGTCGTCAAATCGTTATTGTAGTCGTCATTGTCGTGGTCGTGGTCGTGATGGTGGCCTTGGCTGTGGTCGTGAATGTAGCCGTCGTCGGGGACCTCGTCGTCGTGGTTGTCGTTGTCGTCGTCATGGTCGTGGTCATGGTCTTTGTCGTCCTGGTTGTGGTGGTGGTTGTTTCCGTGGTTGCCGTCATCGTCGTGCTCGTGGCTGTCGTCGAATGCGTGGCCGTGGCCTGACCGTCGGCGAAGTCGTAGTTGTGATCGTCGTCGCTGTCGTTCTCGTGATCGTGGCCATGGTCGTCGTGTTTGGTGTAGTCATCTTCGCAATTGTTGCCGGCGTTGTCGGCGCGACCGTTGACGTAATTGTGGTCGTAATCGTCGTCGGAACCATCGTCGCAATCGACATTGTCGTCATCGTCGCCGTCACCACAATCGTCCTCACCTGATCGTCGACACCCTCATCCTCACCGACGCTGCCGTCGTCGTCGTGGTCATCATCGCCACTGTCGTCGTTGTCAACGTCCTTGCTTTCGTCTGCAACGGCACTGGCTGCAAGAACCGTCATCATCGTCGTTGTATCCATCGTGTGGGTCATCGCATTTGTCATCGGCGTCGTAACCAACATCGCTGTCGTGAGGGATAGCGGACCTGCATTTTGGCAGTGAGAAGGGGTATGCATGGCAGAATCGTCATCACCGTCGTCATATCCATCGTATTGTCATCGCCGTCGTAACAAATATCTCCGTCGTGAGGGATTGTGGACCTGCATTTTAGAGGCTGTGGGGGAAGAATTTGGCGACGAGGAGGGGTATGCCTGGCAGCGTCCATGGTGAAAAGATGCCAGACTGCAAACTATAGCAAGCTGTAGTTTGCAGATCTGCAATGTATAGCAAGCTATACATTGCAGATCTGCAATGTATAGCAAGCTATAGATTGCAGATCTGCAATGTGTAGCAAGCTATATATTGCAGATATGCAATGTATAGCTTGCTACAGCTGTGTAGTAACAGATGCTCTTGAGCAAGCTATACATTGCAGATCTGCAATGTATAGCTTGCTACACATTGCAGATCTGCAATGTATAGCTTGCTATAGTTTGCAGTCTGGCATCTCTTCACCATGGACGCTGCCATGCATACCCCTTCTCATCGCCAAGTGCTCCCCAGAGCCTCTAAAATGCAGGTCCACAATCCCTCACGACGGAGATATTTGTTACGACGGCGATGACAATACGATGGATATGACTACGGTGATGACGATTCTGACAGCCACTGCCGATGCAGATGAGTGCCTGGACGTTGGAGACGACACCAGAGCCGATGACGAGTACTTCGATATCGACGGGGATATCGACGACCAAGTTCAGGCGATGCTGATGACGACGACGACGATGACAATGACGATGGCGGGGATGGTTCCGACGACGATTACGACCACGACTACGTCAACGACCGCGCCGAGCGTGACGGCAACGAACACGAAGACGACGACAACCAAAACGACAACCGTGACCACGATTACGACAACGAACACGTCGACGACGACGATCATGACTACGACCGCGATGACGGCCATCAACACACAGTCGACGACTGCCACGACCACGACGATGACGACGACCACACCAACAACCAAAACCACAACGACAATTACACTACCGAGGAACCCCACATACTGATGTAAGGTCGCGCGTGTTCACGCCTGCTGTGCCTGGGCGAACGTCACGGATAGCGGCCGCGGTGAGGGACTTCCCCTTGCGCACCCCTTATGGTCTCAAGAATATGCCATGCCTGCTGTGCCTGGACGAACGTCAAGGATAGCGGCCGCGGTGAGAGACCACCCCCTGCGCACCGCCTCTGGCGTCGAGAAATTACCGCGCCTGCTAGGCTGTTCGGCAATGTCGTGGATAGCGGCCGCGGTGAGAGACCACCCCTTGCGCACCCCCTCTGGCGTCGAAAAATGGTCGCGCTGCGAGGCTTTTCGGCAGTGTCGTGGATAGCGGCCGCGGTGAGGAGACCACCCCCTGCGCACCCCCTCTGGCGTCGAGAAATTGCAGCGCCTGCGAGGCTTTTCGACAGTGTCGTGGATAGCGGCCGGGGTGAGAGACCAATCCTGCGTACCCCCTCTGGCGTCGAGAAATTGCAGCGCCTGCGATGTTTTTCGACAGTGTCGTGGGTGGCGAGCGGGTAGAGACCACCCCCTGCGCATCCCCTCTTGCGTCGAGAAATTGCCGCGCCTGCTATGCGTTTCGGCCGTGTCGTGGGTAGTGGCAGCGGTGAGAGACCACTTCTTGCACACCCCCTCTGGCGTCGAGAAATTGCCGCGCCTGCTAGGCTGTTCGACAGTGTCGTGGATAGCGGCCGCGGTGAGAGACCACCCCCCGCGCACCCCCTCTGGCGTCGAGAAACAATGGCGTGGACGACGGCCGCGGTGAGAGACCACCCCGTGCGCAACCCCTCTGGCGTCGAGAAATTGCCGCGCATGCTACGCTTTTCGGCGGTGTCGTGGGTAGCGGCCGAGGTGGGGGACCACCACTTGCGCACCCCCTCTGGCGTCGAGAAACAGTGTCGTGGATAGCGGCCGCGGTGGGAGACACCCCCTTGCGCACCCCCTCTGGCGACGAGAAATTGCTGCGCCTGCTAAGCTTTTCGACGGTGTCGTGGGTAGCGGCCGCGGTGGGAACCCACCCCCTGCGCCCCCCCTCTGGCGTCGAGAAACAGTGTCGTGGATATCGGCCGCGGTGAGGAGACCACCACCTGCGCACCCCCTCTGGCGTCGAGAAATGGCCGCGCCTGCTAGGCATTTCGACAGTGTCGTGGATAGCGGCCGCGGTGAGAGACCACTCCTGCGCACCCCCTCTGGCGTCGAGAAATTGCCGCGCCTGCGGGGCTTTTCGAGAGTGTCGTGGGTAGCGGCCGCGGTTGGAGACCACCCCTTGCGCACCCCCTCTTGCGTCGAGAAGTTGCCGCGCCTGCTAGGAAGTTCGGCAGTGTCGCGGTGAGAGACCACCCCCTGCGCACCCCCTCTGGCATCGAGAAATTGCCGCGCCTGCTGAGCTTTTCGGCCGTGGCGTGGGTAGTGACCGCGGTGAGAGGCCACCCCCTGCGCACCCCCTCGGGCGTCGAGAAATTGCAGCGCCTGCGGGGCTTTT